ATGACTATTGTAGCTTGATGATGCTACAGATTCAGTTCAGCTATCCAACAGGAGCAGATATTTTGCAGAGGCGAGTACCATGGCCTGCTTCCGAACTCCACAGGCTGGCACAGTTGGAATACCCTCTTCCACGCTTCAGCAGACTAACATGTACATATATGTGTATATATATACACACCCCCCCTTGAAAAATCAAGATGATGAACTTTAAAAAAAAGAGGTGTTTCCACCTAAATCCCTATGAAGCTTCTGGTTGTTTTGCTAACATCAAAAAACATTCTGACCAGAATTCTACTAAACACTTCTCTCTGCTGCTAAGACCCTGGCATCCTGTTCCAAAATAACATGTCTTTCAAAGAACTTCTTGGAGAAGGACAGAGTAATTAAAGACTGGAGTAATCTTACCAAATACTCCTTCATTTGCACTAGACACCCAGGCAGAGGTGGTTCAAAACAGCTAAATCTTGTATGCCAACAGGAGAGAGGGGCTTGGATTGTTAGGACAGAATTACCTTCTTCTATGTAGTTACCTGCTCCTCTCCCATCTTGCTGGCTACCATGGAAGTTATTGCAATAAAAAGAAAAAGTTGACTTTTTTTCAAACAAGTATTGTTGTAGTTAGACTGGCTGACTCCTCCACAGTCAAGACAGATGCAAGCAGCTTCACAGTCAGAAGACTGGTATTCAATGGGTTTGTGCTTTTCTTTCTGGCAGGTCTAGGAAGCAAAAATCTTTTCATGGTTCATATTATTCTAAAGTCTTTAAATTCTTATGAATTTAAAGGAAGGTTATAGAACTAAGTTTCACAAATTTAAGATTTATTTTGTGATTTAAGATTAAGAGATTTGGGATTCAGGATTCGAGTAAGAATTCTCTCTACTAGACATGAAAACATCTAAGGACAAATGGAATGTTTAGGTGCCAAAAGTAACACACAGTATTTTAAAATCTAAATTTATAATTTTCCTGACGGAGACTCACTGCAACTGATAAATGGAGGCAGGTATCTTGTCCAGAATTAATGACTGGGTCTATCAGATAAAAATTCCTGAAACAATCCTTGAGCACCCAGCTGTTAAAATTTGAAGTGACAGCTGACTTTCACATCAGAAGAGTGAAAATGGAAGAAAACAAGCAGCTACAGTACTATGGGCAAGTATACCAAACAGTTAACTTCTCTATTTAGTAATACAACTAGTGACCTATATAATGGACAAGTACTTAACACAGACTGAAGAAAGTACCATGAAAATCTCATCCTTGAAGGTCTAATTTGACCTGCAGGGAATGGTGTTGGGCTTTAAATAGTAATAGTTGTATTGTCATGCATAGTAGAGGGGTTAGATTTTTTAAACTTTTCTTCAAAATGCTGGAATACAGTAACAGAAAAAAAAAAAATAGTTTAGACTCCTAAAATATGCTTTACCTTAAGAGTACAATGCTTGAGGATGTAAATGCACAGCGTGTTAAAGAAGTATCAGTGTGAGCTTACTGTAATTTTCTTCAGGAAAAAAATCCTGTAAATTAACATACAGTAGGACTGTTACATTAATCACTTTGGATTCTAAATATTTAATGCGTATCATCTTTCTGCCATACAACTATTACATTACATTCTGAAATTACTGCCAATTTATAAATTTTCACTACTGAAATTTAGAAGTGAAATAATATATGGGGATATAAAGAGAATGTCTTAATGCAATGATTCACCTTATTTTAGAGCAAGGCCTCATTTTTGTGGCTTACAAAAATGGTTTCTAAAACCCCTATATGGGATAGGCTGTTTCTAAAGCAGCATATAGAAAATAATATTCAATAACAGAGACAGAGTCTTGAAAAATCACAGACCAATCCAATATTCTGTTAACATTAATTTTATAAAATACCTTACAAGAACAGATAAAGAACTTGAGCTTACATAATAACCAAAATTTAAAAAGAATGTTGAATAAAATATAAATTAATTGAACACATCACTAAGTTTGCCACATGTTAGACAAGTTTATAAAAGGCATTTTCAGATAAAATAGTTATTTGAAAAACAAATCCTTCAAAATGGAAACTACTGAAGTTCTTTTTCAAGAATTCATTCCTAAAAGCACTAAATTCCAGGTCAATGGGTAGTACCTGAATTTACTTAGAATATGGTGTTCATTTGCTTCAAAATTTGTCAAGCTTTAAGACACAAACTTAAATGCTTTCAGGTCAGAGTCGTCAGTGCAAAGTAAAGTTTCAAGCTGAAAATGAGAGAAATATAACAGAAGACACGATCCTGGTACAAAACCTCCTAAATTCACATTATGAAAAAAACTGTGCCAGATGCACTCTTGAGATAGTAACATTAACAAATTTTACCAGTGGCCATTTTAGGGTTCCAGCCAAGCCATTAACATGGCTAATCATATTAAATTAATTTATTTTATCACAACTTCATTTTGTTTCCTACGCATAGTCTTTGGAAAGGATCCATGTTGCTGATGTCCACTTAACTTTGCTCTACTTCTGATTCAGCCAATGTGCTTAAAATGCAGTAATGTAGCCAAAAGGAGATAAATCGTGAGGCCAACAGACATCAGAATGATGGTCTAAAGCTTGCAATGACATTTAATTGGAAGAAATATGATAGCACATGTTTCTGAGTTTAAACAACTTTGTTCATCAAAGCACTCACACTGAAGTCAGTCTTCCTTAAAGTTCTATATGTGCATAACGCACTGCCAGGCTCAATCCCTTAAGTCTTTCAAAGGTTAAAATATGTTTAGAGAACTATATGTTTAGAGAACTAGACTGTAGCCAGATTAATTTATTTAAAGCCTATTAATTCCTGCATAGTAAACATCAATACTCCAGCAAAGCAATTTAGTTCTGTTTGACTTTTAAGCTATTAACCAAAACAGGTTTGAAATAGTCTTCAAGTTCCACTATTTAGAAGTGTTGTTAGCACACTCATTTAAAGATTAATGGAACTCTCTTCAAGTTCCCATTCAGAATATTGCTCATCAAGCTTTTCTTAACACATACAAAAAAAAAAAAAGGTGTCACTTCTGGTCACAACCAGAAAGGAAAAGGAAAAAAGTTAAAACCTTAATCTATCAGGCAGCAGTTCCAGCCTCTAACTGAAACATAAGGCTGTCATTTATACTAAGCTGCTGCATAAAAATGAGAAAATGAGTTCTCCATTACAAGTGAAAATTTCAAAACTCAATCTGCAGATTGTTTGCTTATCCTTGTAAAGCGTTCTCTTTTCACTGTTGTCATTCCTATGCTGGCAGTTATGCTAGAACCTCATTTAAGTAATTCCAGTACAACCACAGTGTTTAATAGTATGAATAACTTTGAATTTATAATTATCTCAAATGCTAGATCAATGTTGTAAACAAACCAAATGAACAAGAAGGTTCAAGACAAAACATTCCCCCAAAACAGAGGAAAGAATTACTTGAACTAAAAGCACAGAATATAACTTCAACCAAAACTTCTCACAAGCTGTACTCAAGGAATTAACATTTAAAGGAAGTTGCAAATGTCCTTTTCTAGGACATAAACTCAGAATCATTTGCTTAAATCAAAATGGAACAGGTCTTCCCTATACCCTGAATTGTCCTGATCATCTTTTATCACTGAAGCAGATTAATGATACCCATGCTATGCTTTGTGAGGCTACAAAATAATTAGTTTTCAGAATAAATTCTTTGATGAAGTAATGGACTTTGAGAGATCACTGTAATATCCACTGGGTGTTCCCAGTTATTTTGAATCCTGCAATTTAGCCATTTGCTGTCTTTACAAAAAGAATCTTTAAAACAAATGTACTGGTTGCCGAGATCTGATCCTGTGAAGTAATTTTTACCACTTGCTCTGAGTGAAGGAGAACACGGACAGGTGAAAGGGAACAATCAATATGTACCTCAAACCCAGCTTAGCACACTGAAAATTCTCATATACTGGTCACATCTCAAAATGTGAAAAATATTCTAACTACCACATGGCTTTATCTTTTCAATAGTAATAAAAGAAAAGAAGATTTCAAAGTTTCCTAAAAAACTAAGAAAGCAGCAATCTTAAGAATTATTCTAGAAATATCTGGACTCTTAACTTTGAGTGTACTAAGAACAGTGCTGTCTTCCCTCTCTCTTTTCTAGAATTGGGAAATTTTTAATTCAGCTTGCATCAATTTGGGCTCAAAGATAAAACGTCAAAGCCTGGAGTATTACTAACCACATAAAGCAAAAATGTACTTCCAACTAAGCAGCTGGAAAGTGAGTGAATGAATTTGGGGATTAAACACATACTTGAGAATAATCAAGTGTACAGAAGAGGAGATTAGTAAAGAACTCTGCAAAAAAATTGCTACAGCAGCATTAAGAATTAACAGTGCATCAAAGATTTGAAGTTTCCATGTTAATACAAACTGATCGAAGCCACAATGAACCACAGGATAATCAATCAAACAAAAACCGCATTCTACTTTACAGAAGCTAGAACGGGAATTTACCTGAATACCATTAATATGATTCAAAAAGATTCCTTCTAGTCTGGCATGCCTCAGTTTATATAGGTCATAGAGAACTGATGACATTAGTGTGTAATCAAAACACAGTATTGTCATGCGCATTTGGCTTTTTTGAACATTTGCAATCAAATACACAAATTTGAACGGCTTTTACATGTCAGAACTCAGTATCACTGCTGCATGAAGTGTTTTATTTGTTGGTTGGGATATTTCGTGGAAACAGTGTATAAAAGACCTTGAGGACTACAGGTCATGGAATTCATGTTAAACAGAAAGCTGCCCAATGTTACTGTCAAAATACCTTTATAAAGGCAGTTCATAGACAGAATAATGCATTTTACATTCAGATATTTCCTCTCTCAAAAGCAAAGGAATCTCAGAAGAAAAAAAATCAGTAGTGAAGGCCACATACTTTTTGCATTTGATGAGCTGAAATGCAAAAAAACAATTAAAGCATCTTGTAACAGAAAAAAAAACAAACACAGGAAAGTGATGATTTAGTTGATGAGGTGGTCAGCATGGAAACTGTTGGGAATGCTACAGCAGAACTGACCACAAGTCCAAGGGAATACGAACAGGAACACAGTACAGGCGTCAACTAGAAAACTGTAACTTGCCAACTTGTAAACAAGAAAAAGCATTTCACAGATTAAAAGTTCTAGAGAAGTAAACTTCTTTAAATTATTTTGTCAGTTCAACCCTGATTTAAAAAAGTATGGCTAGCAAAAATACATAAGCCTCAGCATATTTATAAGTCTTGATCAGAGCAGCCATGAGCCTTTGATAAACTGCTGGAAACAAACACCCTTCTACTAAGGATGAAAGAAAAATATTCCATTCTCTTCTTTCTTTCATTCCCCAATCCATACGTTATATGTAGAATTCACACGCTCCAAGAATATCTTGACGCTGCTATAGATTGAGACGTGGGGAGACTGGTGGAGGAAAACAGACAAACTCTCTTAAAATACTACGGGCCACATCAACATTATTCTGGGCAATTTCAAGTGCCCTCTTGACTTCTTCAAAGGAATAGCCCTCTCCCATAAGTTTTGCAATTTTTGCATCCACATTTTCTGTGGAACTGTCAGAGCTGTATGCTTTCCTGTGGTGTATTTCTGGTGCAGTCCTCCGAGGAAGTGGTTTAGGGGGCCTGGCTGGTGCTTGTGAACCATCTGTTTCAAATAAAGGAGATAGAAATCATTATAATTTGGCTTAAAATGGTGTTATAGGTAGCTCAAGCCTCATGAAGCAGTTTAAAAAGTAAAATTCTAAAGGAACATGAAGAGATTTTAATTCACTGATATATCTAATTTTAAAATTCAGACAGAAACTGAATTATCCAAGAACATCCAAAATGAAAATAATGTAGTGAAACACTATTTTAATTATACGATAAGAACATGCAAGTTAAAATCTGAATTATCCGATGTTGAACGAAAAATAAAGTATGATGAAACAGCAAAGATGGTTAACATAGCCAGTCAAAATTTTAAAGGCTCTCCACTCTCAACCGACAGTTTGAAAACTTTTTCTTAGCCTGTTTTTAAAAAACCAAACAAGCAAACAAATAAACAAATTTGATCACAATTTTATTCAGGACCATAAGTTGTGCAGAAGAGGAATCCAGCCAAATATGCCCAAGGAAGAAAAATCCTTCACTTATTGGTAGATCATGCAGATTCTGTTCAGTCAATTGCAGTTCATTTCATGCATAGCAGCTATGCATAAGTACAGAAATAACTCAAAATTTCTCAAAAAAACCTCTAGTCCATATTTTTTCAGTGGTGAGAATAGAAAATAACCCTTCCTCTCCATTCCCCCTTTGGAAATATCTCCCCTTTTCTTCTCTTCTATGGAAAGGCTACCTTCACAGTTAAGGCTGGTGCTAAGAATCATGACGTGCTGATGAAAAAAGCTAATATTTAAACTTGCTAATCTTCTCAGACTCAAAGAGTTTTGTGCTCAAGTAAACTTGGTACTTTACTGAAACCTCTTTATCCTCACTGATTCCACAATAAGAAGCTTAAATACAAGCAGGCATAGAGCAGAAAACACTTTCAAGAGCAAAGTATTAAAAAAAAAAAAGTTTTAATCCTTCAAAGAGGGCTCTAAACAGTTCCATCAACAGTGACTTTGGTAGATAAATTAGAGGAATTTCTGGCTGTGCTACCTTCCTGTTTACTTACACTGTCAGCAATTGCATTTTGCAGTGTTAAGTACTTCAGAGGCAGTTTTTTAGTGACGAAGGAATGTTGTATTTCTAGTATTGCTGTTACAACATGCCACCTTATCATAATACTGGATAGAGAGAACTGCAATTCCACCTAGTGCATTAAACACTTCAGATGAATGAAAATAGTTCACATTAGTGAATGTCTAACCAAGGTGTATTCTTCTCTCAACCTGGTTTCCATGTATGAAAGTGCTGCTATAAATTTTAATTCTATTTCTTATTTCAGAGAAGATAAGCAAATAGTACTTTTAGCAAGATGGTGAAATTCATATAACAAATGGATGAGAGTAATTTCACTAAAAACTTACAGGGGCTAAGATTAATTTTGTTCTAATTTCATTGACTATTTTCCTTGCAAATAGTTGTGACACAGCCTACAGACAGTAAGGGTTATTTCATATTTGTTATGTTTTTTTTTCCTCTCTGAAGATGGAAAGAATTATCTAAATGCTAAATATTCTAGTAAATGCAGCTGAAGCAGATCCAAACCTGCTATGAAGGTGTGGAAGATCCAGGAAACACACTGGCTTGAGAAATTAACTGTAGCTCAGGAAATGTGGTTAATAACCAAACAACAAATCAGAAGCAAGTTTAAATTTCTCATTTCACTTATTTTAGAAAACTCAAGACTGTAACAGAAGAATATTCTTTTTAATTAAAATAATGTTATATCATGTTAAAAACAAATTTGTTTTTTTTCACAAACATTTCAAACTGTTTTAATATGCACATTTCATTACGGACTTCATTTCTATAGAGGATGAAACAAAATTAATTTGCAAACTTTACATTTTCCCCTGGGTTTGAAGTAGAAAAGAAATTCCTTATGCATAGATCAGATCCTTCTGTGTATGTTACACGAGATTTTTTTTTGCTCAACCCAGTCTAATACAGGCTTAAAACTGAAGTTATTTCTTGCACAAACACTTCACTTTGCTGAAGCTTCCAAGCAAACTTCCTTAAGCAATCCCATAATTTAGAAAGGTCATTTTTAATTCTGTCAGCAGATTTGCATCATAGGCATTTTATTCTCATTGCAATGACATCTCTTTATAGCATAGATACTTTAAGATCTTCAGCCCTCTATCTAACTCAATTCCCATTATTATTTTTTTAAGCACTGACATCTCTTTCAACATCTTCACATCCGCATAAAATTTTAGCTGAAGCTGGATATCACATTGGATCCTGAGCTTAAAGATACTAAGCCTAAGCTGCATGTCCATCTGGACACTGAGATAGAGGTATTTAAGTAGGACTTTCCTTCCCAACCTCTCATCCTCTCTGATGTTTCAGCCACCATGGGTGCCTAACTGAAAATTCAAATAGGTTTTCTAATATTGTAATTTGATTAACAGTTTCTACAATAAGGAGCTTCCTCTGTCACTCACATTTCTGTAATTCAGGACTAGATTTAACCCTTAGGTAACGGGTTAGTATAAAGGCAGAGACAGGAAAAAGTCGTAATGTGAGAGCTCTGTGGCACAGTGGGAGGAGGATATTTGTAACTATGCCAACTGCCTGTTCCTCTGCTGTGAATGGCCCTCTTCTCTTCTTCCCTGTTCCTCTGCTGTGAATGGCCCTCTTCTCTTCTTCCCTTGCTGCTTCTCCTGCATGTTCCATCGTCTTACACCATGGGAAGATGGAGAAGCATCAGAGAAGCAGGTGACGAAGGCTTGTGTGCAAGGCCCTCTGTGGAGCAGTGGCAAGCAACTACATCAAATCTAACCAGGGTACTTCCTGTACCCAAAGCATACCTAGGGGACATCTATACCAAGGAACTAACAGAGCAGGGAGAAAGTGAGAAAGGAGTAACCAACATATTGGTCCATCAAGCTCTTAGGTATGGTATTCTTTAGGTATTCATATTTTGCATTATTGCAGCAGATTAGTCCCCTTAGAGTTAACTGAAATCCACCCTGAAATAATATGACACCCTCCCCACAACATTTCTGTGTAGAGGAATTTTAATTTGCACACAAGAGTTTTAATAAGGTTGGGTGAGTGAACAGGCAGCAAAAAATATATTTAACTAGCCATTTGAATCCATTTCTTACAGAATAGCTAAATTCAGTAAAATACAGCAGACATCTATATTAGAGGCCTAATGTTCTTCTACTTTTCCCATGTATCATTGGCTAAGTTTAGGTAAAACATCCTAACTATTAGCAATATCTCCTCTTGCTTTTATTGTAATTATGTTTAAAAGTTGTATTTAAGAAGTTTGGAAAACTATGCCTTTGGGATAGTTAAGTGCATAGTTGACAACTGTTTCTTAAGTGTTAAATACTAAATATATTGCTGACTTAGAATAAATTTCTCATTACGTGCTAACGATTCAGTTAAACATCAAGACTGTAATTTTAAAAACAGTCAAACTGAAGCACAGAAGTTAAAGGATTCCGCATGCTACTCTAGGGAGCCAGTGGCCAAATTATAATTAGATTTTAGAGTGAACTACATTTCTTTTCCAGCTAGTTCAAAGAATCACCATACGAAAGGGCTGAAATAAAGAATTTCTTAAGTGAACTGATTAGTTCAGACTAAATGCAAAACCAGAAGTTCTGAATAGAGTTACGCCTCTACATTGTCTTTTTAAATCATAGATGAAGGTGAATCAGTTCATCCTGGAGCTCACCAGTTCTGTTCTATGGAATTGCCATCACTGTAAAAACAACTTCCCAATTAAGTGTATGACATGATCTATCACACAGTTTTCACTTAATTGAAATTAAATTTAATATCTTGCTATACATCATGCTGATTTAAAATTGTATTTACAGCAAAGGTCGACACGTGGGTGTTTTAGAAGATGGCTGTGGGAAACATACAGATAGAAAAGTAGTCACTAAGTGACATCAGAAAGCTCCAAGATCTTAAGTAGCAAACATCTTCCCATAATTTAGGAAAATTAAAAATTTTTCTACCACAGAACTGCAAGAATTGCAGGAAAACTCCATAGCTTTAAAAGGTAGTTATACCATTGTCATAATTTGTATTATAAAATAAATTAAGTTAACATTGTAAGACAAATAGATCCCTCACAGTGTCACATATAAAACATGCACTACAAAACAATTTAATTTCTAACAAAAAATAGAGAAACACTGTTAGTAGAGGCATCCTCCCAAAAGTGCTAGTGTTTACCAAAGGTATCACACCAATTCTCAAATGTGCTATTCATTAAAAATTCTGTAGCACTCTTCTGGCTTACTTAATTTCCCCTGTTGGAAAAATATATTCTTTCATTCCTATGCCACAGCAGAGATGGACTACATATTCCTAAGAAGAAATATAATTACAACTAAAAAATGTATCATTTTTCCAGTTGTGACTGTTGCAATTAAACACTGATGATCATTACCACTGAAAGACTAGAGAAATAAGTCCCTTCATTTCTTTATGTGTTAGAAAAGAGTTTTCACAAAAAATTCACTCTTATTTGGAGAACAAATAATGGTTCAAAGCATCACTTGGCTCTTTCTTTGTGTGGTCTCCCCACACAGCAAAATGATGCAAGTGGGACAATCTTCCCCCTACCCCATATACCACGCACTTCTAAAGAAAAGAAAATTTGTCTACAAATTGGTGAAAGTATTTTGAAATACAGGTAATACTTCATTTTATAGTTTAGAATTACTTTAATTAATTTGAGTAGCTTTCCTTTAAATACTATTCATGTTGCCTGAAAAACGTAAGCAAAATTTCTCTGGTAGGGATATTGCTTCTACTGGACCTCTTTTGTTTCAAATTGAGATTGAATTTTAATTTTTTTTTGTTCTTGTTGCTTTATTACAAAACATTTTAAAATTTTCTTAGAACTTCAGACAAACATATTATCAAGAGATTGAATTTTAATTTTTTTTTTGTTCTTGTTGCTTTATTACAAAACATTTTAAAATTTTCTTAGAACTTCAGACAAACATATTATCAAAAAAGGATCAAAAAATAGTACTACTTTAGAAAGTGAAGCTACTTTTTTCTTTTTAGGAGCAATGAAACAAAGATGGAAGTGAGATGTCTGTGGTCCCTGTGGTACTTCTGATTTCTTGTGAGCTTTAAAGGTGGCAGAAAAATCTCTGCCTTTCTCAAAAAATAAGGAACACTAGAACTCACATAAGAATTCAGTTTGGCAGCTGGTGAAACTGGTGCCGTAATATCTACACCTACAGACAACAGGTGGCCTCTTCTACCTTTATTGCTGAACTTTAATCTCTGTTATCCTTTGATGATTTCGTTATTTTTGTAAAACAATATTACCATTGCCCTTTGGTGCCCAGAATGACAAAAACCTTACTGGACTTTATGGATGATAGTTATTTGCTTCATAAAGATGTAATTTCCTACAAGAGCAGTTTTCTACCTTACCTGAAGAGGGAGGAAGTTGATCATAGTCTTGAGATGTCCTATTTGTTTTCACGTTTTCTCCAGCTACTCTACGAGCAGGTGGCAAAGGAACATGACCAGTTATCGGATCAAAATGGGTATCTGTAATAACAGAACAAAAAAGTTGTCTTAGAATAATTAGAATTGTTATTTGCAGGAGCGGAAGGGCTGATGCATAGAACCTAAGCTTAAAATAACCTCCCTTCAGACAGAGGAGCCATGAATCCAAACAGAAGTGTTCCTCCATAGCACATGCATATGCACATATACATCCAAATTCAACACTTGCATAGCAGACATATGCCTTCAAGCGCCAAAAACAAGAGCACAGCTCAAAGGTGGCCTATCCTGCACTGACCATACTACTTCTGTTTACATCCATGAGGTACCTTTCAATTACCCAACCCTGACACTGCTAGGATTGTGGCTGGAAAAGCTTGGAATAGGTTGTAAAGCCTGAAGCAGCACAATTAGAAATATCCTAGCTATTAGGTTTGGTTAGATCTTGATAACACTTCTATGCTTTACAGTTCACAAAGACTACAGGTCACATTTCCTATTCATACAGTTCGAGCTATGGGTAAATATTACAGGGACTGATAAAGGCTGTGACTAGGCTTTTCAGTTCTCTCTGCTGACTACAGGAAAATAACTTTAAAAATGAGAAAAATATGCAGTCCTGGAACTTTTTTTTTTGGCTGTTGAGGATGCAGCTGAGCAAGTGTTAACATCATCCTGGACCTGGGTTCTGCTCTGGAGCTATAACAGTGTTTGTAGGTGAGTGCAACTTTTTGCTGTTGTTGATGATGAGATTATTATTCTAATCTGACAGGCTATGACGGATAGCTGAGAAATCACCCAAATCACCCCCAAGACTTGTATGGAAACCAATCATCAAAACCTCATCATAAATCATCAACAGCAGTTTATTTGGCAAGATGCAAAGTGAGTAATGTGGCTTTAGAAATACAATATTAATAAAAAAAGAGCAATCCACACAACCATCACAACCATGTGTGCCTAAATAGCTGTATACACTTACAAGATTAATGAAAACTGCTGCTGTAAGATTGTATTCCCTATGCAAATATAAGAAAAAATATATGTCCATAAATACAATTTCCAGATTTTTAATTAAAAGCTGTTAAATGTTTTTTAGCCCTATCAGTGAGGTTGCTTAGATTATTTCGAAATAACACTTAATAATTTAAAACTCTGCATGTTTCTGGGAACTGCACACAGATCGACGGAGCTTCTGTGTGTCTGCCTGCGAGAGCTTGTATTTTTCCTCTCTATTCCCACCAGAACTGAATGGTGGTGCAGTATGTGTTTCAGCATCAGAGGATACAACTGAGGCACCCATTCAGACTGGACTGAGTAATAAACACATCCCATAAAAGGTCATTCCAGTTCAGCCTAAACTAGCCCGCTGTCATCCCAGAGCTAGTATCGTTCACAAAGGTCAGCCAAACACCCAACAACCTGTCAGGCTATTATGGAGTTGCACATGAGTGCTTGTCATCTACATTCTGACATTCCTGTGATACTATCACTGAAACATTTCATTTATCCCTCTCCATACAGCTTCTACGAAAAACAGATAGGAGAAGGAAGACATCTAACCACACCACAAAGTAGGTAATAACTGAAAACGTTCCTGAGACAGGTAAACTTAAGACATCAGCATCCTTTGGAAAGTTCCACAGAGAAAAAAAAATGTCACTTCACAGATATGCGCTATAAACAACAAAAATCCTGTCGTAATCTGTACCATCATCAGCAAACATATTCAAGTTAATTAACCTGACAATCAAACACTTTTCAACTCAAAGATAAAATTCTTAAACTGTGAATATATCTTTTATACCTTTTACAAGCAAAATACCAGACTGAAAAAGTGTCACAGTTATTTATGAGAAGAGACAGGTGAAAAATTGACTTCTCAAAAAGGTTATGAACCACAGGCACTTGCAACTGTGTTCACAATTAGTATAGTTTTGCAGTAAAATTTCACAACAGTTCTAACAAAGCAGGATGTTCTTTCCCTTACTTTCCAGATTTCCGCCAAGTTTCAACCTGAAAATAAACCCCACGAATTATGTTTTACTCTAGAAAACAATAGAGTTGACAAAAGGATACACCTATCATTACAGATTACAGCAGAAAACTTGGCACTTCACAAGTAACAACTCTTTCTAGAAAAGTACAATTTACCAAAATGTCTAGCCTGGTATTAAAATATTGACCTTATTTAATTACTTTGTGATAATGAGAAGTTAAGTCTTTTTATATTCTGAATTGTTTCATCTCCACTATTAAAAAAACCTGTATTTTTAAATACTTTGTATAAAGAAGTATTACAAAAACAGACTTCTGAACCTGACGACAACTTTACCACAGAACAGATGAGCTTCTGAATTAAAAGGAAAATTCAATAAAATCCTTTGTATTCCTACCAGAATGAAGGAACAGTTCATGTCCTGAAGAAGGTCGGCTTCCTGAGCCAGCAGGTTTTGTGTGCTCAATCATGCTGTGCCGAGCAGGTGGTGGCGGTGGTGGTAGTGAAGGGGGTGAGCTATCAAGTGCATCTTCACCTGCATTTAAAAAAAAAAAATAGTTAGATAAGCAAAACTTCATTAAGAACTGTAGAATAAAGAGTGAAGCTTAAAATTTATTTTTCTCTGGCTGCTGAGGCCATTACTCCTAGGGTTCATCTAGCAGTTCAGTGACTCCAGTAATGAAATTATAAACCTGACTCCTACTGTGCACAATCCTCTTCTAAAACATGCTCTGAATGACCTTTTGCAGTGCTCAGTTTCTTTTCTGGGATGGAAGGAGAGTTTTCTTTTAGTGGCTCAGTTGCAAATTGTGTATTATAATGAAAGCGTTCACTGAATATCATCGTAGAATAACAGCTATGTTTCAGTGCCTAAGCAAAAATATTTATATTCAAACACCAGTGCTGACTACATTGAATCTGCTACATTTATACTGTGTATTATCTGTATCTGCTATTCTAAAGCTCTGACCCCAGATATAAACTGGATTTTCTCAGGCTTGGCAAAAGAACATACCCCTTACACAAAGGTGGTGCAGACGGGACTAGGGTTAGCAAACAGAGCAATTTTTAATATGTTCTTCTGCCTTCAATTATGTGTATACTCATAACTCAGGAACACTTGAGGGACCAGAAAGTGCAGGAACATGGCAAATGTTCTAAAGGTTTTATGGAATTAGAAAATTGGATGATGACACATATACTAAAGTCTAACAATAATGCAGCTGAGTTTGTCAGTGAAGGTGTAGGTGGCGGCCAAGCACAGCCCCACTATGTATGCAGAGCTCACTGACTTTTGTGTAGGAGAAAAGAACAGAAATCAGGGTTGGAAAAGATAGCTTTTGGTCATTGTAGGCAGCAGCGAGTTTTAAACTGTCTCTTGATAGTGGAAAAAAACAGAAATAAACTTATTAATTTAATTTGACTTAAATGCCACCTCTTTGGCATTCTTCTTTGTATTTGATAACGGAAATGGAATTATTTAAGCTACAATAGGAAAAGCCTTCCACTCTTGCATTAAATTGCAACTCTCAAACTTCATATTAAGGGACAAAAAATTGTAATTTATTTTGGGGAAATGGTTTTGCTTTTCTTTATAGCTTGAATACAGATTGAGTATGCCTTTTCGTCTGTCCTTCATGAGGGCTTACAGACAGATACCACTGACACAAATACTGACTTATAGCTGCAATATTTAGCCCATAGCTTGTTTGGTACTCTTAACATACTCAACATTGGTTGTTTTTCAATAAACATGGCATTTGGCTCATCTAGGCAATGTTAACCACTAAATGTAATCAGCAAGAAGTCTGCAACCTAAAGGGGGCACCAGAAGATCATAATCGGAGGGTGTCCTGTTGAGCAAAGAGCTGTGTTTTGAGTTGTCTCTGGGAGGAGGTCGAGCAGGTGGCAAAGGTACCGGAACAGTAGGTGCATCATAGACATCTCCTGAATGACACAATCACAAGAAGTGAATGTTTTCTTGCTGTACCCCTAGAACAGCAGAGTAAATTTTCTTGCTAAACAGTGAAAAATAAAAACCTACCCAACTCTGGATGTTTTGATTTCTTCATCTCAGAAGTAGCACTGTGTGTCCCATTTGTTACGCCAGCACATTGACCATTCTCACACACCCTGGAGACAGACATTGAACAGGAAGCAATCAATCAGTTATCCAAGTATTAATTCCCAGAATGACCAAGTACCTGAGCTGGCAGTCCATAATATGGAAACAAACGAAAGACTGATAAGCTGCACCAATTTGAAACTTTTTTTTTTTTTTTTTAATATTGAGAGCAGACACTGGTTAACTGTCAATAAAACTCCTTTGAAGGATTATACTGCTTTCTTGGTGGGATACTGACATGGCTTAAATAACTTACTCAAGACTGCAATGCAAGATAGAGGAAGAACTAACATTAAACATAGTCCTCACTTCAGAGCTCAGGTCATTAGTTTATTCACACAGTTAAGTTACAGACTCAATCCTATTTTGCCTTCCCAGCTGTTGAATTTTCCCTAGCAGAAACATGGTAAAGGGAGATGTGGATTTTGGTAACTACTCACGCCAAAGTACACAGAAAAGTCATTAAACAAAAGAAAACAACAAAAAAATTCCAAACAGGACACCACAACACACCACTAGCAATAACAAATTTCAACTAAACTCTTAGCCAAACATTAAAAAATTAACTAGCCAAAGCAATTTTGCAAGCACCTATTCATTTCTGTATTAAAAAGCTGAGTCTCACTGATACTTTTACCAGTTTACTATTTTTTTTAAACTGGAAGTATATTATGTCCTCAAAATTAAACAACAGTACCAAATTAAATACGAACATCATCTAAATCAAACAGTACAAAGTTGCCTATAATTTTTGTCAGAAAAATATTGGAGATTTTTTAAGATTACTCTATTCAAATGCTACAGGGAAAAACATAGAACAAAAGCCTTTTCATAAGATTAAATATTGTTTTAATAAAGGTGAAACTGGGAAATAACTCCTGTCATTGTAACTGTGGACCCCGCATATGCAGAAAGAAGCAGAAAGTTTCTTTGGAAAAAGGCCACCATGCTAAACAATTCCAGCTTAAAAATAAAAATCCCAACCCACCATGCGTCATTATTACTAAATACTGTGAAATCTGCTAGAGGTATATACAGATCTTGGGGTTTTACCAATAGTATGAACATTAATAAAACTATCAGCTTTGGCCATATGGAAAGGAGGGATGAATAAAGGTCTGGAATGATTTAAAATATATAAACAGGAAAAAGGAAGTGAAATTGTGTTTGTGGTCCCAAGAGTTATAACTAGGAGTAACAAAATCAATGTAAGAGTAATTACAAGACTTAAAAAACCAAACCAAAACAAAAAAAACTAATGGTAAGAGCTATTTTCTTATGAATTAATTTCCCCAGGGAAGTGGCAGAGGAAGTGTTGCTTCTATCTTTGCAATTAGATTGGTTCAATCTCTCAAATGCAGAGGATGCAACAGTTCCTTTGACTCCTCAGTATATACACTAAATAATTAAGAGTACTTTCTACTTTTATTGGAATCTATTCTGCATTTTCAATAATCTAACCAGCCACCGGCACTAAGAAAACTTAACATGGCACCACTTCAGAATTCTTCAGGTCATAATGAGCCCAGGTAAGGGATCAGTTTACAAGTCATGCTGAAATACCTGTTTATATCAACAGCAAACAACAGAAAAAAGGACAGCAAATGAGTACTAACAAGGAAGTCTCTGTCCTTTTCCTTTTGGAAAAAGCTTTATTAGGAAAAGATAGTGAATTTAAAAATGTATCATTCTTCTAACAGAAGCCTAACTAGTAATGCGGAAGTTCTTTCCCTCCAGTTCTTGTTGCTGAACTTGCCCTGTACCTGGGAAGAGATGATCAGCTGTAACAAACCAGGCAATTAACTGATCTGCCAGAAAATAAGACTGAGAATCCTTTTTTTAAAAATTGTTCTTGCAATATTTTTAGCATTGTCATATCTACTGGTAAAAGAGCAAAAAGTCTTAAGGCAGTATAAGTTTTGGGGTAGGATGGAAGGATGACACAGATCCTAAATTACAAAACATCCAGAATAAATTTTGTAGGTTCTTTAGTTTACTGAAAAGTTTAAGTACTATCCAAGAACTGAGGAAGCAACACTTAAAGAGATAAGAGAAGATGACACCGGGGGGGCAGAACTGAAAGGTGTTAAAAATTTATGACAATTAAAAAAAAAAAAACAAAAACAAAACAAAATTGTTGTTAACAGTTTTGCTAAACAATACTGGAAGTTAAGCTTTTATTGACTCTCCCTTTAATCTCTCAGAGATTAAAAGAAGTGCATTAAAAGAATACAGCATCAACCAGCATCAAGATTCTTCTTGAAAACTTTATCTCAGCTTTCACATCTAAGCAGTGACATTAGCTAAAAGGAGACATTTTAAGTATATGTAGCATCATATATTTTCATACACAAATAATCAATAGGATTTTATTTTTTGGTTGTTTTTTTTTTTTTTTTTGGTAATGCTTAGGAGAATGGTTTGTTTCGAGTTAAAATTCTTATCAGAATATAAAAAAGAAGAGTTGGTATTTTTAATCATAGAGCAACCTGAATGGCAAACTGAGGTACTTTCTCTGTAGCAAGTCCTGGATTAATGCCAAAACACCCACCATAAACACAAGATCAAGTACACTAGCTAAAAAATACACTGAAAACTAAAAAAAAAAAAAAAAAACAACTTTAAAATCAGCTTTCCATCTACAGCCTCTATTAATAATTCTAATGGCCTAGTGAAATCCTGTACCAGCCACTTTAAAGAACTCAACTCTTTTTTTTTTTTTTTTCTTTTTTCCCTGCAAAAGAAGGACACTGGAAAAAGAGAAGCTTCTAGTTTTCCATCTGGTTTTCTAAAGAATCTTTCAGGGTGCATCTAGATATTAGCATTTTAGTCCAGGTCACGAGTATGAACTGAAACAGATGTCCACAAGTCATCCCCACTTACAGCAGCACTTTGGTTTACATTGCAGAGAGGTACCAGAGCATACAGACTCAATTGCTTCTGGATGATGTTAACTCAAAAGATGTTCTGCAGGAGCTCAACCAATGTGCCAAAGGGCACTCCAGCCACAGGAACATGTTAGGGCTAGTATGAATCCAAAACTACTCAAAACATAGAGTGTGGACATGGGGTCCTTGGAGTCAATTAGTCCCCTCTACAGACCTACTCCTATTGCACCACATTTGTTACTAACCTATACATAGCCCTCAGAAGCTGCTAAATCAAGGTAATCTGTCCACATACTGCTGTCTTTGGTTTCAGACTTTCTGTCTGTATAACTCTAGTGATGCAAGCAACTCAGCCTCTGCTGTACTTTGCATGGTACAGAAAGGCATTGCCATGCAGAAGCACAACATAGTCACAAAAAAATCACATAGGTAAAAAGCATTAGGACCCTGGATTTTTTTTTTTTTTTTTATCTTCACATTT